TGTGCGCCGGCCTTAAAACTTCTCCTACCCCGATGGTAAAGTTTGCGTGGACGTGCCTTGAATTCCTAAAAATAATCGAGAGAAGTCATTGTTTACAAAAGCTGCTACGGCTAATTCCAGCTCTATCTAGATATGTTTAAATCTAACATACCATGTACTTTAAGGCAACATTGGGGGTGAAATTTCAAAAAACCAAAGTCGGTTGCTGCATGAAAGTGGCCTGATTTTGATCCAGAGATAATGAATTTTAATTCTTAATACGCGAATCGATATGATATTTTTTTACGTATCTGTCAAAATTAAGACTTAATCACAAAAAAAATGTCACTATTGAAAATTGCACGGATGTGCAAATGTTGCTATGATAATTAAAATTATCATCGATTGCCTACGAAAAGCGATTTCCCTAACATAGATTTCAAAGTTGAATTCTATCCGGTCTCACCATACGGTGTTAATTCAATCCCCGCGTGGTGAGTGGTGGTGTTCTCCAGTACACAACGAAAGGCTGCCTGCAAGCAGCGAGCTGCATCCCACATGAGCATCCATAGAAGGAGGAAGAAGCCGCACCGCTAATGATCGGAATCAATAGCTCTTCGTGAGTCGCTGTGGGCCATCTATGCCAAGCGCGTTATACTAAAGAGTATAAACAGAGAGAACCCCGCTATAATTCCTATTCCTACACAAAATACAAGCTTCTGCTGCAGTTAACAAATAAGATTTATTATATAAGACCACGTATTCCTACGGCATCATTGCGTACAACCCCATAACGGTGTCCCTTGTAGTTTTTTTTCTCCATGAACGATGCAGTTCAACGTTGTCTCTTGGCAAACCTTTTGTCGCTGTTCTATGTCTCCATAAATTCCAAAGAGTGAAGGGGGTCTGGTCGAAGGTAAATAATATCTTCTCTCCGTTAAGTTTATTCGGTTGAGCCTGTACAAACGAAATAATTATAAAACAAAGGTAAATTTAATTGAACTAAACGTTAACTTTCTTCATTAAGAAGTAATGATGCTCCAAAGAGCGATCCAACCCTGGTAAGGGGTCGTGGATTAAAGCTCGATTCAAAATAAATCTGGACGCACGGTTTAATACACCACCGCGCCCCTGGTGGTTGGAACAAAAAACGTTTGACAGGCATTTGTTGATGTTTCATTGACGAAGAAATTGATAAAAAGTTTTTCTCGATTGATCGACGCATCCCGAAATTACGGATCAAGGAACTTGAGAAAAGAAAATTAATTGTGCACAAACATCTAGAGAACCCTTCGTTGTCTGCCTCAAAACTAGCAAGAGTGTTAAAATTTCCAAAGCCAACGGTGAGTCTTGTAATCAAACGTTACAAGGATACTCTGAGTGTGGATAGAGCACAGCGCATCTATCATAAAAGTGACACTAGGAAGCTGATGAGAAAGGTGTTGAGGTACGTGAAAAGCAACCCAGGTGTCTCCATACGTGATTGGGCAAAGAAATACGATTCCAACTTTTCCACCGTGCGTAACATCCTTTCAAGAGAAGGATATAAGTCTTTTTGTGCCAGTAAACATCCGAATCGCTCCCTGAAACAAAATTTAGTGGCCTAAAAGCGAGCACTATACGAACGAGTTTTGACGAAATTTGATGGCTGTATTTTAATGGATGACGAAACATATGTCAAAATGGATTATAAACAAATCAACGGACGAAAATTTTACCTGGCAACTGGTCGTGGGGATGTCCCTTCCAGGTATAAATTTGTTTTTGCTAATAAATTTGCTCGGAAACTAATGATTTGGCAAGGAATCTGCAGTTGTGGCCTTAAAACCAAGGTTTTCATCACATCTCACACAATGAAGTCGAAGGTTTACATTAAAGAGTGTCTGAAAAAGCGGATTTTACCCTTCATTCGGCAACACAAGACCAACATTATGTTTTGGCCGGATCTAGCCAGCTGCCACTACTCTAAGGAGGTACTAGAATGGTATGCTGCAAACAATGTTAATTTCGTCACCAAAGAGATTAATCCTCCGAATTGCCCTGAGTTCAGACCGATCGAAAAATATTGGGCAATTGTCAAGCGAAAACTTCGAGGATGCGGTAAAGAAGTGACAAAAGCACAACAAATGCGTTTAAAGTGGAATAAGTTCGCCGGTACAGTGTCACCAGCGACTGTGCAGATCATGATTGATCACAAGTAAAGTGCGACAGTTCGTTCGAAACGGTGAAATGTAATAACTTGTTACATATCGTTTGAAAGCTGAATAAATACCCTTTTGTTTGACGTTTTGATCAACCGTGTATGTTGTTTAATTCTTGAGTTATGATAACTCACGCATTCAGTCCAAATTAACTTTGAATCGGGCTTTAGGACTATCAAAACGGTGGACGACGAATGTGTGGGCGGGTTGATGATCCGGGGTCCAGGAAAAGTCCCTAAGCCCAAGCAACATTGCAATGAAGTAATGAAATTGGGTTGTTAGCGGAATGCTAAATAAAACAGCAAAAGGGTTTATCTTCCATTTAATTCCACTTAATTAATTTTTGTATCCATGACAGATACGTATTTCGACTACAATGTGCAGCCTTCATCAGTGGGAAGAACATTGCAAATTGAATAGAAGTTTTAAAGCATTCTACAGGTCTAAACCATGGTCTTCAAAACCCTCACAAAGCCCACATTTTTACTTGGGAATGTCTTAGAAAATACAATGAATATTTGATTTTGTATTTTTCCATCAATTTTTACATCAAATCCTACACATGAGTGAAACAAATCTTTAAATCCGAAATGCCCACATTTGATGATGTTCCATTTATAAATGGGCCATGCTTTATGTACCGATTTGAATGAGCGTGGCAAAGCATATTGTTGAATCAATCTTGCTTTCTGAGAAACGGGGAAGTTGCTATGATCAACTTTCCTATGGAAACTATCTTGCCTTTGCATTATCTATAACTACTCATAAGTTTTACACTAACCGGTTCACTCCGTCACTGAACCTTACGACCGACGTAACTTAAGTGGATAAACAAACTGCTTGACGGCGTGGCGCACATGGTACCACAAACACCCCCACAGCGAACGGACCTCATCGCAACATTTCGTCAAAGAATAGGAAAAATCAACAATCGATCGTTCCGAGAAATAGGAATCCCCCTCCTATGAAGGAAAAACCTAAACATGTGCGAAGAAATAAGATAAACTTCAACCTGACTGCCGGAGAGCGCGTGGGAAAAGTGAACAAACACATCTGCGGGCCGGCAGCCAAACGTAGGTAATAGATGATTTCCTCGCTAGTATTATCTACCTATAGAATTGGGATGCAAAAATAGTCAAGGTTAAGCTTGTGGTGGAACGAAATTTTATGGAGTCTTGATGCGCGCATCGCGAGTGCAACTGTGTAGCTCGGAAGCACGTGCCTATCGAGAGAGCGGTATGTTATTAAGCTTTAGTATGGTCGTAAAATGTAAAATGGGCACCATTTGATGAGTGGATTAAAAGGCAATCTGGTTTGTAATTGATGAAAGGTCAATGGCAACGGCAACTGACTGACGGTTAGTTTTGAATTGTGATTGTGGCGTTGCAAGTACACTTAAAATTACTATTTTTACACGTGACGAAATTCACATTTGACGTTAATCATAGAACGTAAACAAACTTGTCATGTAAAATTAAATGTACTGAAACCGAAACATATGCAACTAGTGCCTCCCTTAGCTCCGTCGGTAAAGGCGCAGCTACAAAGCCACACCATACTGGAGGTGACTGGGTTCGATTCCCGAATTTGGAAAATTTCTCGACTTCTCTGGGTCACACAATTATACTAATGCAAAAATGGTACAGGCATCGATAGCTCTCAATTAATAACTTTTGGAAGTGCAGGCACTAGAACACTAAGTTGAGAACACGCAATAAGCTAATATGCGAGTTTGATAAGCTTGAAATGCGAAGAAGAAGGACGCAACTCGACGAAAAGTGCGTTTGATTGAATTGATTTTCTCTAGCATTTTCTAGTCTCTTTCAACTGATTCTTCGCTTGCTTTTGTCGGTCTCAAAGCACCGACATTTTCATTACTTTTTCGTACTGTGTACATCTGAGTGCAATCGATTAAATTCTGAAATTACATTCTTTAAATTCCATCAAACATGGTATGAATGTACACAACTCCGCTCAGTGATCAAATGAACGATTGTTCCTAAAAATAGAAACAACCTGTGGTCTTAATTGATCGCTTCTATTCATGCTTCCTCTCTGAGTCATTAGTAGGTGCTAATTTCCGCTCCAGCTCCATTATCATAAGTATCTATGTATACTGAATGAAATTCATTCATTCGTTTCCAGTCAAAGCGATTGCAATTGCATTCTAACCCGTATTCTGCATATGATAAAAATCACCTAGCATCAACCAGTGCACCATTCTCAGATGCACCCATTCAAGATTGTATCAATTGATTCGAAGCGAATCGTTCATTCATTGTTAGTAGACTAAGTAGCAGTTTTTTCTGCTGTCAATGTCCGCCGCCAGTAGATACCTCGAGTAGCTATAACTGAACGATTTGTACTACCCCAATATAATCCCATCAAGTTCGGTTTGTAGGAATGGACCGGGCGGAGCCGAGTTTGATGGATGGAAAACCAGGAGACAGGTGTAGCGCGTACCATTACTCCCTTACTTCTCCCTTTTACCTACCACATTTCAATGATTCCGCGGATGAATGTTTACTCTCACGATTCAATTAGTTTCATCCGACCGACAACATGATGACAAGTGTGAGCGCCGCTTTTTGTGCGATCCCGCGATGCGGCTACCGTTTAAATGAATGTTGTGTTGTATGTTTACATTTCCAGATGATTTCCTGCGAATGACAGACTGCTCCCCGTGATGGGGATAGGGAAATATGATTCATACAGTTTGATTGATCGTTGGGATGGCCGTAGAATGCTAAAATAATTCGTAGATTAAGCGATAATTGAAGATTTGTACTAATTCAAATCTGTATTTTTCTCCTATTCCAGTGAAGATGTTCAAATCGAAAAACTCCTCAGCGGATCCTTCGCCGACACCAATCTCGCGGGATGAGCAGTTGACAGCGCTGAACCTCAACACAACAGCAGCAGCAGTAACATCACATAGCAGTAGTACCAACAACAGTCCCTCTCCAACAGCCACAACTCCAACCTCGAATAGCAACAGCAACAAAATGAAAAATGCCACCCCTATCAACAGTAGTAGCAGTAACAACAACAACCACAACAACAGTAGCAAAAAGACACCCCACGGGAAGCATAAAAACTCCAGCGAGGACAGCGATGTGATTGGGGACCTGATAGGGGACTACGGCAAGTGGCAGTTTGTGATGACGTTTCTCCTGTCGCTGTTCCAGGTGCCCAACACGTTTCACATCTACTCACCCACGTTTCAGGTGCGTTGTGTTTGCAACATGTTGTTGCTTATAATGATGGTTTGAGGGGTAATGGGTGTACCGACATACGTAGTTGTATTGGCTGGGGCTAGGCTAGGGCCGAGTTCAAATCATTGCATTTTCCCGATGACAGCGAGGATATGCATTCGCCTGATACAAATTGATGTGTGAATATGTGTTTAGGGGATATGGGGGCAAGACCATACGGGGCGAGTTGGGCCACTGTTCGTTTGGGAATATTACCTATTAGCTCAATCTATTTTTTTTTTACAAAATTGTTGAAAATGCTTCTAATATGCATTATTTGTCAATTATATGTCTAAGATACACCGTTTGAAAAAATCATGTAAATTGTAGCGAGATATAGCGCACCTAAAATTAATGCTAGATTTGGCATAAATTTACGCAATATTTCGTTTAAATTTAAGTGTAATATCGCTTAAATTAGCTATATTGTATGCAAGCTTGTATACTCAAAAGCTAGCTCAAAAAGTAGCTCAAAATTAAAAGAGGTGAGATTTTACGCGATAGTTAAAATTCAGAATTTTTTGTGTGTAATGATGGAAGCCTCCAAATTTCTAAAATATTAGAATCTATGCAGCCAACAAAACAAGCAAAACCTGTCAAAACGTTAACTTTTACCTGAGTGCTCATTTTGCCCCGTATGGTTGTTGATCGGATTAAAAACTGAAATTATTCAAACATAATAGTTGAATGAGTATATCATATTTTATCCATATTTTGAACACTGTATATTATCAAATATATTCCAAAGCATGAGTTGATCACAGCCATGCATTCATGAATGTTTTTCATGATTTATGATGTGTTTCTCTTAGGGGGACCATATTGCCCCTATCTACCCTATACTGTTTCCAATGAATATTAATCACAATGTGTGGCATGACTCATTTATGACGGTAAGCTTCAACTCGGATTAACGCTTAATAACGACTCTGTTTGGATGATCTGCAAAATGTTGGCTTTGAATCATGTTGATTAACTCTGAAAAAAAAAAAATCAAAGCAGCCTGTCATTCTTGATCGGGATTTGATCCGAGGATAATACCGGTTGGAGCTTACCACATATGTAAAGGTGCATCCAAATGCAATATGAAATTTTTAATATGTTTTTTTAGTTCATAATCTATACTTTCCATCATCCATTATCAACATTTCAACAGACAAATAGGGTAAACGTATAGGTTAAGCGTTTGAAGAAATATTCCCCTGTTTATTGTGGTTGTCAAGTGCATTTCAAGTATTATAATATTATAAACCATTTCAAAACCACACCGTTTGAAAAATTCATGTACATTTCTGCGATATATGGCACACACGTGTTTAACACTAGATTTAGTGTAAATTTACACGATATTTCATGTACATTCAGGCAAAATTTCGCATAAACGAGCAGTGTTGCATGCAAGCTTGCATACAATGTTGTTGTTTATGCGAATATAGTTTAAAATTAAACGAGGGAGATAAAATCCGGATTTTTTTTTCTGTGCATGATAAAACCAAATGTTATAAATCAACAATATGATCTACTCTTCTATTATCCCCAAGACACGATTTATCCTGATACTAGCGCCACTAGTGACGCGAAAGGTGACTGTTACATTGTAAATAGAGCACTTAGAAGTTGACAGCTCAAAATCAACAAGTCTACACACTAAGATTATTTTACCGAAATCTGTGAAATTTTACCGAAATCTCAACAGCTGAACGTTCGGTAAACAGTTTGGTGATTTTTCACAGATTTGCTGTGATTTTTCACAGATGTTCGTTTGAAAAATTACAGGAAAACTGTGATAAATCACCGAACTGTTCACTGAACGTTCAGCTGTTGAGATTTCGGTAAAATTTCACAGATTTCGGTAAAATAATCTTAGTGTGTAGGTATAGAAAATAACACACAGTTGAGTAAAATTTTACTCAGAATTGTGAAAATATTCCTGTTTTAAATTATATTACAATTTTATTCAAACTGGAGCTTATGGCAAATTAGAATAAAATTTGTAATAGGAAACTAAAACCATCAATTGTCCAAAATTAACAATATTTAATCTTAGATCACTTGAAAAACCGACTATCGATCCGAGGGCCGAGTGTCATATACCATTCGACTCAGCTCGACGAGATCGGAACATGTCTGTGTGTGTGTGTGTGTGTGTGTGTGTGTGTGTGTGTGTGTGTGTGTGTGTGTGTGTGTGTGTGTGTGTGTGTGTGTGTGTGTGTGTGTGTGTGTGTGTGTGTGTGTGTGTGTGTGTGTGTGTGTGTGTGTGTGTGTGTGTGTGTGTGTGTGTGTGTGTGTGTGTGTGTGTGTGTGTGTGTGTGTGTGTGTGTGTGTGTGTGTGTGTGTGTGTGTGTGTGTGTGTGTGTGTGTGTGTGTGTGTGTGTGTGTGTGTGTCTGTGTGTGTGTGTGTGTGTGTGTGTGTGTGTGTGTGTGTACGTGTGTATGTGTGTATGTGTGTGTGTGTGTATGTAACGAAATGAATGCGCTCACGTTTCTCAGCAACCGCTCAACCGATTGAACGCTATTGAACGGTTTTGGAATCGGTGAATCGGTTCCGGAGATTTGGCCGGAATAAGATCCGGTGAATATGGGCCTTCACGCTGGATTTAACGGAAAACGTATTAAAACCATCATGCGACACATCAAATTACTTAAGAATTCAAAAATAAGATCAATGCAAGTCGTGTTAAGTGTTCCAGACCACATTGGACACACTTGGACATGTTCCGGGTACCCCGGGGAAGTTTCTTGAATATGAATTGAATTAAAACCCATTAAATCACATTAAAATACGATGATAAGGTGATTGGTAGCCTCACCAAATAGACTACACCCGGATATATTCCGGGTACCCCCAGGCAGTGGCGTAGCGTCACTGGATGACACGGGGGTGGGGGGCTTGGTCACTGATAATGACAATAAAATAAATAAACTTGAATAAGTACCCTTCATACCATAGGTGGATAAATTCGGGTTTTTAGTTGAGAGCTGGCAAAATGCTCACTAAAGAAGCGCTAAAATCCTAGAAAAACTTAATCCTACTCAATTTAATGTTGTTCCCATGGACCGTATATGGCAACATCTGCCAATTTCTCCGTTAACTCGTCATCTAAACTAGAGAGGGTCTAATCTTAACTATCTGGATCGCTTCATTCACTGATTTTTTTAACCCTCCATGGGTCGATCATTTTGCGCAGTTTCGGGATGTACCTGCTGAAAAGAAGTCCCGTTCAGTATTTATTTTTTCCGGAGTAATGCTACAAACAGGTAAATAAGTTTCCAAATATTGTAAATTCAGGGTGGCAAGTGAACCAGGAAAACCAGGAAAACCAGGAAAACCGGGAAAAAGTCTGGAGTTTATTTTCACCAGGAAAAACCGGGAAAAAGCAGGAATTTCATAAGTCCACCAGGAAAATAATCTTGTTTGAATAATTTAAATAGGTTTTCATTTTTATGTATGTCAAAGTTTCTTTTTATAATCAGGTCAAAACTAACCATTTTGTTCAAGCTAAATCTTTCACACAACTAAACATTGATGAACAAAATTTACCCTGAGAATTTAGTAAATATATTTTGTATTTATTTTTAATTTAATTTTTTTCTCGAATCAATTGCATGTATGATTTGTGCTTAATTGATAGCAGACTTAAGCAGTACCGACGCTTAACTACTTTGAAGTACCTCTTTAACATGTTCAATAAAAAAATTCTATTTCTAAAAACTTCGGGAAAGTCTTACAAGTTTCAGAGAAGTTCTACAAATTTCAGAGAAGTCTTACGAACTTCAGGGAAGTCCTTTAATCTTTGGGGAATAACTACGAATTTTACAGAACTTTCTACAGATTTAATGTAACTTCTACGACATTTAGGCATTACTTAAAACTTAAGGATAATCCTATGACACTTATGGATTTTTCCGAGCTTCAGAGAAGTCTTCAATACGCTTGGGAAGTCCTCTGAACTTACATAGTTCTCTAAGCTCAAAAAAGTTCCTAGAACTTCCGAGAAGTCAATTGAACTACAGGCAGGCATGCAAAATCATTTGCATTCATTTCGTGCATTCATTTACATTCATTTGTCTCTTACTTTTTTCTTGAACAGCATTCCGCAAAATGATGTATAGAGCTTTTGTAGGTTTTGTTATTAACTACAACTTTTGTCAGCAAGTCAAATTCGTATCTCTTATACATGACGAACCAGAGTGAACAGAATCCACTACTGTTTTTCAGTGAATGTATTTTACATTCACTGAAAAACAGTAACAAGTTCTGCCCGCTCTAGTTCGTGATGCATAAGAGATACAGATTTAAATTATGAGCAAAAGTTGTAGTTAATAACAAAACCTACAAAAGTTCTATACATCATTTTGCGGAATGCTGTTGATGAAAAAAGTTAGAGGCAAATGAATGTAAATGAATGTATGAAATGAATGCAAATGATTTTCCATGCCTGACTACAGGTAGTCCTACGAAAATCATGGGAGCTCTCCAAACTTTAGGGAATTTCCAAGAAATTAAGGAAAGACCCACACACTTTTCGAAAACCCTTCGATATTTAAAGCCTTATGCACTTCAGGGAAGCTCTTCTAAATTTAGGACCCTCATATATTCAGTTAAGTCCTTCAAACTTCAGGGAAGTCCTCAGATCTTCGAACTTGAAGGAAGTCTTACGAACTACTGAGAATTTCTACGAACTTCGTGGTACTTCTACGATATTTAAGAAATTCCTATGAATTTCAAAAAACTCCGAACTTCAGAGAAGTCCTAAGATCTTAAAAAAAGTCCTTCAAACTTCGGGGAAGTCCCATGAAATTCAGGCAATACAAACTTCAATGCACCCTTCAGTAAAGACCTTAACGCTTTAGGGAGTTGCTATGAACTTCAGCAGTCAGTCTTTTAAATAATAAGAGTTATTAAACCAGCGTTGTTTATGAAATCTTTTAATCATATGATTTTGAAATCATGGTGCAATCAAAATTCCGCT